ATATTTTGAGCTCATTGCTGGAATGTTGTAAGGAATGTGATAGGTTGAAATCAAGGTCTGTTGCGTTTGAGTTGTTAATTGATGCTTATAGGACAAAGGGTTTTTTGAACGAGGCTTTTTCTGTGTTTTTGGGAGCTAAAGATGGTAAATTTATGCCGAATTTGTTGTGTTGTAATTCATTGTTGAAGGATTTGATGAAGAGTAATAGAATGGAGTTGTTTTGGAAGGTGTATGAGGGCGTGGTAGAGAGCGGGGTTCCTCTTGATGTTTATACGTACACAAGTGTGATCCATGCTTACTGTAAGCTTGGGAATGTTGGGGAGGCGAAAAGGATCCTACGCGTGATGGAAGAAAATGGGTGTACTCCGAATTTGGTTACCTATAATGTTGTTATAAGAGGGTTGTGTGGAAAGGGGGCTGTGGATGAAGCGCTTCAACTGAAGAGGTCAATGGATGATAAGGGGTTGATTCCAGATAGTTACACGTGTTCGATACTTATAGATGGGTTCTGCAAGCAGAAGAGGTCAGTGGAAGCTAACTCAATTTTGGAAGAGATGAATGACATGGGTCTCAGGCCTGACCAAATTGCCTGTACTGCATTGATTGATGGCTTCATGAAAGAGGGTAACATAGAAGGTGCATTTAGAATTAAGGATGCAATGGTTGCAAAGGGAATCAAGTTAAACATTGTGGCTTACAATACTATAATAAATGGGCTGTGTAAAGTTGGTCAGATGGAAAAGGCAGTGGAATTCATGAATGAGATGACTACAATGGGCATAGCACCTGAAACTCAGACTTTTAATTATCTAATTGAAGCGTATATTCAAAAGGGAAGTCTGGATAAGGCTTCTGAGGTTCTTGCTGAGATGAAGGAGAGAAACATGGAACTTTCTGTATATACTTTTGGTGTCATAATAAATGGGTTATGTCGTTCTGAGGATTACTGCCGTGCAAAACTTGTCCTAGACAAAATGGTCAGTTGTGGTGTCAAGCCAAATGCCATCATCTATTCAAACATGATAAAAAGCTATGTACAGAATGGTAAGTTTGAAGATGCAACCAATGTCTTGAAGGAAATGTTGCAGAAAGGTGTTTTGCCTGATCTATATTGCTATAATTCTGTTATAATTGGCCTTTGCAAAGCCAGAAGAATGGAAGAAGCAAAAACATGTCTAATTGAAATGGGAAAGTGTGGACTAAAGCCAAATGCATATACATATGGGGCTTTCGTCTCAGGATATAGTGAGGCAGGGCAAATGGAAGTAGCAGAAAGGTATTTTAGGGAGATGCTTGATCGTGGTATTGCACCAAATCTTGTTGTTTATACATGCATGATAAATGGCTTCTGCAAAGAGGAAATTAAGCAAGCCTTTTCAACATTCAACTCTATGCTAGGACGGGGATTACTCCCAGATTTGCAACTGTATAGTGTTCTTATCAATGGCCTCTCGAAAAATGGAAAATTAACAGAAGCCATGCAAGTTTTGTCTGACCTGTATGATGCAGGTTTACGTCCTGATGTTTACACTTACACCTCCCTCATCTCAGGCTTTTGTAAGCAAGGAAATATGGAAAAAGCCTTTTTGCTTCATGATGAAATGTTCCAGAAGGGTATTTTTCCAAATATTGTCACTTATAATGCATTAATAGGTGGCCTATGCAAGTCAGGTGACATTGAGAAATCTAGGGAACTGTTTGATGGGATCTCTGGCAAGGGTTTGACGCCCAATTGTGTAACTTATGCTACAATAATTGACGGATACTGCAAATCAGGAAACCTATGTGAGGCATTTAACTTATTCAATGAAATGGCAGCAAGGGGGCTCCAACCAGATTCTTTTGTCTACAATGCCCTTGCCAATGGGTGCTGCAAGGAAGGGGAAACAGAGAAAGCATTGCTACTGTTCCATGAAATGATACAGAAAGGCATTGCATCTATTGTGACTTTTAATACTTTGATTGATGGGCTTTGCAAGTGGGGAAAATTGACTAAAGCAATTGACTTGGTGAATGAAATGACTGATAAGAAGATCACACCAAATCATATAACCTTCACAATTTTGATTGACTACCATTGCAAGGCTAGGATGATCAAAGAAGCAGAGGAACTTTTCATAGACATGCAGAACAGGAATCTGAAGCCAACAAATTTCACTTACATGTCTCTCTTACATGGTTACAACAAAGTTGGGAATCGGTCAAAAATGTTTTCAGCTTTTGAAAATTTGGTTGAGAGGGGCATTGAGCCTGATGAACTGATTTACAGCATGATGATAGGTGCGTATTTCAAAGAAGGACATTTGGAAAAAGGTTTTAAACTTTGGGATCTAGCATTGGACAAGGGATTGCTGGATGGATTGACAAATGAAACGCTAGTTGAGACCTTGTCTGGAAATGGTGAAATTTCTAGAGTAATGGAATTACTTGATAGGATTGGAAACCAAGGATATAATCCTTGTCTTGCAATGTGCAGTACTTTGATCCATGGATTGAATAAGGCAGGATATTCCAGAAGACTAGATAAAATATTAGAAATTATGAAAGGGTATGGCTGGATTCCTAAGTGCACAGCTTTAAACGAGTTCATCGATCTATACCAAATAAGTGCAAATTCTGAGAGTGTTAGCAATCTCTCAAAGCAAGCAGCCCTAGAAGTTGCTTGTCAGGTTTAAGCAGAGTTTGAGGCGATGGTAGTTATGACTTTTGCGTTCTTCGTTATGCTGGCTCTTTGACTGATTTTTGGGATACTGTATAAGGAGATGGATCTATTAAGTGTGGTGAGCAGCCTCAGTTTTTGCAGCAATTAAGTTGCGCGAAAGTTTTCAGCTGCAATCAAAAGATACATCTGTGAAAGGTAAAAATACAAAAAATTCTACACTTCATCATTCATATCAGTTGTTATCACATTCCTCCTTTCCCTTTTTACTGTTATATATACATACACATATACATACATATATATATGGCTTTGTTTTCCTCTTTTTTTAATGGGTGGGTGGGACTTTTACTTTCAATTAAGATGCACAGATGGTCCGCTTGTTCTTTTATTTACAATGTGATTATGTTTCGTTTTTTGTAGAACTTGAAAGGGTTACATGTTTTTGTTGAAACCAGTTTCATGATTGTAGTTGGGATCTTTACTTCCATGGCAGGAATATGAAATTGCCTCCTGTTTTCTTATTTCCTTCTTTTGGGCTATTGGGGACAGAAAAATGGGTTTTTGGGGGGGGGGGGAGGGGGTGTTGGGGTTGGTGCGGTTCTTTATGAGATGCTGTCACACACAGGCATGTATGTGCACACACCTGAACACATAACCCTAAGTATGCTAGGGGACTCTTGGCCCTCAGCAAAAGCATAGATGCTACTTTAGGTCATGGCTTCAGTTACTTAATGGAGGAGTAAAATCCCATGCTTAACAAACTGATTTGAGTTCATTTTGCAGGTGATGTGCTCCATGGTACTACCTTTAGCAATAGCAGGTGGTAAAAGAAGCAAAGGGTTTTGAGCTTAAAAGGTAATAATTATGCCTTCTATGTTTTTAATATAATAGGATTTGTTGGCTCTAGTATGTCCCTAAATATTCAGCCTAAGTTATTCTTCTATCCTTGCGTTGTTTCATTTTATCTGTGTTTTTTCCTGATGTTTCTAATGCAAATAGCTTTTGATGTGCACATGGCATCTTATGTTGACAATACTAATTATCAATGATTATCTGATCAGAATAATTTCTAATCTTCTGAAGTATTGCGGGGGTATTGAGCTGCACGTTATATGTATAAATATGTTTATGTACTACTTTTTTTGAGCTATTTATTGCTGGATTGTTTACTTCTGTCCACCTCTTGAGCAGGGTTTTCGATCCTTGCTAGCTTAAGGACATCTGATGGACAAGGTTGCACATCTTACAACGATTTTAGGGGAATCATGAACTGCAATTTGGTATGCCAGATTGGAGCGCTGTGTTTTACTGTTGATGATTCTTTTGTTTCTTGTATTGTATTTTAGCATGAGTGAGTTATTATATTGCTTTGCAAATTGCTGCTTTACGTTTTGTCTCTCCACTGAGCAGGCACTGGTAAAAACACGAGGCAGACCAGCAAAAGTTTGAAGAAACACTTTGCTCATAGCGCAGAGTGATTAGGGAAACTTCGGACTGCATGCTCCCTGGAGCATTTTGAGCTACACACTCCCACTTTTCTCCCAAGTGAATTGTACCAAAAATCAAGCTGTATCAACATGCAGTTCATTCTTATAAATTGGCAATCCTCTGCAGTCTTTTTCTGTTTCAATGAGGACCACTGTTAATGTTTAGTCACCAAAAAGCTTCTGGTGATCACTGGCTCGAGTCACACTGATGAAGATGTTATGCGATAAATTTGTGGAATTGGTTTTCGTGCCTGATACCAAATTTAGGTGGACAAACAAATGGGACTTGGTGGATCAATGTGTCTGATTTTCTGCATTCGCTGATGACTTGTTTTGTTCTACACTGATAATTAGTGTCTTTGACGAAACAAAATTATGAAAATCGGGAAAGAGTAAAAGATTTCCACTTTGATTACTGAATGTTATGTATTGTTGTTTAGTCTAATTAGTAGCTGGATGGATGATTGAGAAGTGGGAGTCCAAGTAAAAAGGGAATTGGCAGTTCGAGTTGGAAAATATAAGTTTTACTTCTTCATTATTTGTTTTACTTCTTCATTTTATGCTCATAATGATTTTTGTTTAACGTTATTATTTGTTGCCACAAAATCCTTCTAATTATTCCATGAGGCTAAAGCCTCATAATTTTAACGTGATAAAATCCCAATTACACTCGGAAACTGAGTATACAATAAAAATTAATTTTGCTTTCTGCCGAAGGATACAGGCAGATTTGGGGTTACCATGGATTGAATTGAATGAGGAGGACCAAGGTACAATGAAGGGACTACTTTTATCGCTCTTTGATTGTAAATCAAAACAGGAAAAACAAGACAGAGAAACGGTGGAAGCAATTTCAAAAGGAAAGAAATCAAAATTTTTCAAGATTCAATGCAAATCATACAACTATTATCCATCCTAAGCGTCCTAACAGCACATTTCTGGGGACAGCTCAAGTACAATAGGAGTCCCATGGTCACAGAGTCATCCTGAAATTACTTAAAAAAGTTATATACAGCCACAGCATATTCATCCTAGCCAATCTCAAAAGAAAAGAAACCAGAAAGGATGGCACACAAACACGAGCATCGTGCATCTTTACACTGTTTTTGGTACCACATTGTGTCTTTCAGAAAAAGGCATGCACCCAGTGGGAGACGAAAGTGAGGTAACTCCCTTGCATGGTTTAACTGGTAAGAACCTGACTAGCCATATTCAAACTACCTCAGATCCCAGGGTAGAAGAGCACCGATTTAGTACATTCGAAAGTTTTCATTTCTACCTCTGATTCATGGATCCAAGGCTATCTGCTAGCATTTTTCAAGACAGCAATTATCTCAACATCATCGAGGTCAGATTCTTTAACAAGCTGTAAAGGTGTTTTACCTTCCTTATCTGGAGCTTGCGGGTCAGCTCCCCTGCCATCCAAGGGGTCACATAAGCAGCAGTTAAAAATTTTCGAACGCACACTCCCTACTAGGTGTTTAGATTTGGAAATAAAAGTCTTCTAGTATATGAATTAATTACTAAGAGCTGACTTAGTCATGCATTGTATCAATGAAGGACTTGAACTAGGTGTTTAGACAATGCACAACTTCAGGAAGTTGAAGTTCCTTCTTATACTGATAAACAAAAATCACACTTGGAAACTGAGGATAAACTGAACATGGACCCCGAAAAAAAATAAAAAAAGATGAGGATTCTCCACAATGAAAACAAAGAAGCATAGGATCTGTTGATTGGAAAGAGAAAAGAACATAATAGAAATCTAGTCAGATGCAAGAATTACCTAGTAAGCAGAAGCTTGACAATTGCAATTCTTCCTCTTATTATAGCATGATGCAATGGTGCCTGACCCCTTGAATCACAAGAATTTACATTTGCACCATGTTGTAGGAGCAACTCTACCATACTGACATCAGCAATTTGGCAGGCCAGGTGAAGCAAGGAACAGCCATCAAGAAGATAATTAATGAACTGACTATGACTAATGCTTTCTGCATTTGCAGATAGTACAGAACCACCATCCATATTGTCAAAGTTCTGATGAGCATTTGCATGATCCTGCAATCTCATTGGCTTGGCTAGACTTAATGGTGTAGTAAGTGAGGCTTGCCTAAGGATGGCGTTTACATCCACTTCACATATGACAATGAGGCGGTATGCTGATTTCTTATCATTCATGCGAACACTTTCCCACAATTGTTCGGCAACTGAAAGAAGATGCTTACTGTCGTTAACTTTCTGAACAAAACGTTTTTCTGCATACTGCAAAAGGAAAACACGCTGTTAATTTTTTCTTTTTCCCAGATAAAAAAAAAAAAAAGCAAACATCGTATTAGTAAAACAGTATTCCCCTGTACAGAAAGTGCAGATAACAATTCAAAATCAGACAAAAACTCATCTGAGTGTCCATGCATGTTTATAGCTCTTATTTTTTTATTTTTTGAACTGTCACATTGGCGCAGCAGTCATCTCCATGCATGTTTATAGCTACTCCAAGAAAACAAGTATACAAAACCTAGCGATTATAGTCTACCGAGGTTTCTGAATGCCTTGAAAAGATCTGTGATTCGTCTGATTCCATGATAGCCAAAACTTTGCCCTTAAATTGCACATCAAACTAAAAAAAAAAAAGAGTCCATTTTAACAAATCACCGTAAAGTCAATATCTAAGAGATTGTCTTTAATGTGACTTTTTAAAGTAAAATTGACTTCCTTAGTTTGCGAACAACAATAAATTCAACAATACTTGTATAGTTTCCAATTAAGATATGAACATTTGAGTAAATAATCCAACTGAACTGATAGAGATAAAAAAAGAAGAAGAGTTAGTACCTTTGCATGAATGAACTTCTCCTTAACTGAGATATGATCATCATGACTGGGTTTACTGAAAAACTGTTTGTGTTTATCAGACTCAAAGAACCTGCATCAAAGATATATATATTTAACATTAAGCCTTTAAAACAAGATAATCAACTGCAGAAAACTCTGCAACACTTACCGCCTTGGTATTTCATCAGCCTGAAAAGTTTTTCTTGCATTCAACAGCCCCTCCCATATTGAATTCACAAAGACGTTCCCCAAGGCCTGGAACAACGCTATCACAGAAGGTTCCCAGACCTTCACATCGAGAGCTAAGGATCTCACCTGCACTTGAAGTACACAACAATGTAGGATTAGGAACCAAGACAATCATTTGCTACTAGCGCTAAAAGTAATCAGCTACAATGAGCAACCAGCACTTTTCTTCTCATGAGCTATTTATTGTCAAAATTCCTTTCATATACAACCAGGACTAGGTCTTGATAGAACCTTTACACTAGAAATGTGTTTGTAAGATATTGAAAATTAACAGCAAATGTGAGAAGGTTAAAACGCAAACTTGAGATAAAAAAAACACTTGCCTTTGATATATGTACCCCAAGGTTTCGGTGAACACCAGAACACTCTATACAGATTAGGACACCAAGATTCAGGGAAGCCCAGTCTGGTTCAAGCGCACCACAATCAGCGCACACATCGTTCCCAGGTAATCTTTTTAATGTATCAACTGGCTTATCAATTTTCATACTATGATGTAGCTGCAGTGCACTTTTTGATGAACGTATCAAGTTCCTAGAAGCAAATTCCTTATCAGAGGAATGTTCTTCAATTGTCCCGTGATCATTATCTGGACTTCCGATGGAACTACTTTCACTACTGGGGCTTGCAGCAAAATGCTGGCACATGATTGAATTAGTATAATTCATGAGAACCAAACACTACGTTTAGAATGCACTGATGCAGTTCGATTTTACCTTCTCGGGTTCCTGGGAACTCAGTAAAGATGCAATAACTCCAGTTATTTTATCAATCCAATCCATTTGCTCTGTTGCACTCTCTGCCTACATGACCAAACAACTACTTAGCTACCGCCCAAGATAACGAGTCTTTAAGTAATTGGGTTACAAAAGACATTCAGCCTCACCAACTAAAAAGTTTCTCACTACTCAAACTATTAAACATGTCAGGCTAATAAGTATTTACCTGCAAGGTGTAATTCTTCGCTGGTGAAATTATCCTGAAGCAAAATCTCAGATCTGATTGATCTGCATCAACTTTTATTGTTGATGTGAGTAAGTTCACCGTGTGACGTGCAACAGACTTTTCATCGTGTACACCACCATGATAATGAGAAGACAACCAACGACTTAGAAGTCCAGAACTGGGTTCTGAGGGAGAACTTCTATGTACATGAAAGTGACTTCCAGATCCTGGGAACTAGTAGAGAATAACATATTAAGTGGAGAGGAACCAAAAGGAAGAGCCTTTGACATGAAATTTTTGTTTAAATTACTTACAGATGACCTGCTCCATTGTTTGCGATAGTAATACAACATTCCTCTGCTATCCAAGACAAAAAATCTTCTCTTCCAGTCACCTCTTAAATTAGAAGAACGTTTTGAGAGATATCCTTGTTTAATGGTTTGCACCTAAACTATTGAAAACTTAGCTATAAACATAGAGATCAGGAACATATATTGAAAAGAGTAAATGCTAAAAGAAACCAAGGAAAGCTCTCTTTGGTTACAAGGAAATCAATATCAATTTGAGTACCTTCCCTTCCAGTGCAGACTGCATAACTGCCTCTATGACTTTGTGGGAACCTCTAGGGAATTGTTGTACTATATCATGACTTGGAGAACCAATGGACCCATTGAATGATCTTCTACTCTCTTGATCAACCTGCCTTTTGTACTCCTGCATCCTTTCATTTAGAGCTGCCTGCTCATAATTGGAACTTTCTCTTGCATGCTGTGCATAAGCCAAGACCTGTAACAGAATAGCTTCCCTAAACTCCACAAGATATGTATAGTTTATCATATAGACATTAAACATCAAAACTGTAGCTTAAACCATTCAGAAACCACTTCAACCACAAGGAAAACAGCTGATAGATATATTCAACAGTTCGTGCGGTTGGCTTAAATATCTGATAGAATGAGGATGTCCAGAATGTATTTTGCATACTATTTTCATGATTGAACAAATAAAGTTTTCATGTGCAAGAAGTACGTAGTAGTGGCTGCTTGACTCCATTCTCCATTACTTCATGTTTGCTATTAATAGTTGCAATCAGTTCGACAAGTCGCTAAATCATGAAGCAGCCATGAACAAAACCAATTCCTTAGAGAATATCAGCTATTGAAGGATCAAGGATAGAATTTAACAACTGAATAAAAACTTTTTAAGTTTGAGCTTCTTAAAGTAAAACATTAATACATAGATGGGAAACATTGGGCAACATCTGTGGTAAATTATGGAAATGCAAGGAAATTTAAGTAAGATTGAGGCAACATCTTGCATGTATGCCAGTCCTATTCTAGGAGGATCCCATTGATGCATCTAAGGAATGCTGTTACGGCAATGTAGCTTGTCCAATGCTTTGGCAGGGTAAGCTTCTATATAAGTCTCTGTAATTGCTTTCTTCAACCTCCTCTTAAGCATCTTACTATTACTCCTATATGCTCTTGTATGTTCCTTCCAGGGATATGAACTACTGGACAAATAAAAGAGGTGCTAAAACACGTTATCAGAAATCAGTCCATAATAAAAAAAGAAAAACTGGACCTGGTTTATGTAAGGCTCCATCTGATGCAATAGCTCGTATCCCTGTACATGAGATCACTTTTTGGATTCAGTATGTGCATTATAAGCGTATCTCCATTTACTAAGAGCTTCTAATCATAAAAGGACCTGTTTGAAATAACGAAGATGAGCATCCATTGCACTACCTACAGCATCCAAAAACTCGAATCGTTTCTTTGCCTCAACAGTAGAAAGAGCACCAACCTGACCTTTCATCAAAAAGTTCTATAGTAAGACAATTTCGAAATTAGATAATTCCATATCTTGATAGTTCTATAGAAAAAAGAAATGACTAGAAACTTAAAACAAACCAGATTGAACCGTGATTGCTCAAACACAGATCTTGAATTATGAAGTTCCTGGAACGTCCCTCTACCAAATTAGAATTTAACAGATAATGGTTACCCATAACCAATTATCTGATCAACGAAAGCAATTGGTAATAAATCATTTAATGTAAAAAACTAATGCTCAATACCTCCTCTAACGCAGCAGCTACATCATTTTTAGTGCTTTTCCTCAATGACAAATACTTCTCGCGGACCTGAGGCAGGAATAGGGTGTTAACAATAAAAGAAGACAGTACCAACTATATCAGCATGTGATTCATCACTGTACATCCTTTATTGGTATGTTAAGATATTCCAATTGTATATTTTGTTATATTTAGTAGCTTGTAATCAAAACAAGGGGGATTCCTGTATAGTGTACAGCAGCAAGAGATTAGGAGTAACAAGCCAGTGCTCTATCTTCTCAACTAATTATTGGGTATGTTGATGGGTTAAGTTGGTAAAATTCTGCCTATACTTAGTTCAATGGAGCTTAAAAAACCCCACAGCAACCACTAAATATAAGCTTTAGATCTACAGCGTGGTGCAAAATAGGCTCCCTCACCATTTTGTGCGTGACTAGGAGAAAGAGAGATACTCTTAAGAGAGATATGGCTCTAAATATAGAAGTGTATATATTTGAAAGGAAAAGTACCAAAGTAAGGATGATTTCTTTGACTTTCAATGGATCTCATAGTTCTCTGCAGCTTCCTACTCACTTAAGAAGATTGATGCTTGGTTTCCTAAGTACCCCAAATTATAAAACTGCTAATTATCTCTAATCCTCAAGCTGCCTGGCATGTCAGTGGACTAAAGGATTGACATGGAAATGCTAAAGGATCTATTAAGCAACTGAAGTCATAATCTAAACATAACATGAGAGTAGGTTTCTCAGCACTGCCAATAATGACAGTAAATGAAATAGGAATTTTTATAGATCAACTGAGCTTCTCATAAAAAATTGATTTGAGAAAATAAAATCAGCAAACTGCTGAGGTGTAATCATGTAATACCTGGTCATAAGTAACATTAGCCTTATCAAAACGCTTACGAGCTTCCTGCAATTTACATGATTGTGTTGATTAGAATGGAAAAGATCCTTCAATATATAATAGTAGGAGGGAAGTCATGCAGAGTTATAATGATATATACATATAAACAGTATTACAAGTAACAGAGTAACAACAACAGGTGACCCTATTATTAAGCATCATCTAATGTGCAATCTCAGAATATAAAATAAGTCATAACTGAGGTGAAATTCTAATCTCCCACTTATTTCATTTGCTTTATTCCAGTTCAATATGCATTTATTTATTGAGAACACATGCAAGCACATTAACCTACCTATAACACCAGAAAAAGTGTTTAAGACCGTGGAGACCAGGGTGACTTGCGAACAAGGACACAACAAGAAACTATGGGGGAGACATCAAAGAGAGAAATATGCATTCCTTGAAGACCAAACAGGATTATATTCTGAGCACCTCCTTCATTTTATAGAGCAAAAGCCTAAACTCAAAGTGATGGCTAGTACCTTGACATCTTGAAGATCAACATTAGCAAAGTGCAGTAGCCTATCATTTAGTATGTGCTCCACCTGAAAAATTGGAAAGTAAGGAGAGGAATTAAAACAGATATAAGACTAGGTTAAATGCCATGGTGCCGAAGAAGTTAATGTATCTATATATTAATTGCATATTAGATCAAAGGAAGCCAAGGAAACTGAAAGTACTTTTAGTAGATTCTTATGAAACTACTTTTAGTAAATAGCAAAAAGAACAAAATGAACTCTTTCAAAATTGAAAGAAGATTTATCACCTGCGATCGAAGAACTTCCTTGTACATTCCAATTTCTCTCAGAGCAATTGCAAACTTAGCCATATCAGGGCCTAACATATTCAATATTAAACTCCATCAGCATTAAAACCTGCAAAAGATGAATGATTGACCCAAAAAAAAAAAGGAGACCGAAAGATGAACAAACAAATACGCTGGCAAAACAAATACATCCTGCTTGCTTGGAAGAAAGCAGTATGTTAATCTTCACTTCATTTTGAACAATTATGACTAGATTTACTTGACTGAAATCCCATGACTTGATATTCAGGACATGTATATCAAGTTCTGCTGAGAAGGGCGCTGCCTTTTTCAAGTTTTACTTTCTTTTGTCAATTTTATACCAGTAGATAAAGTTCTCAACATAATCTGTCAGAAAATGACATGCAGAGATTCAGCAGGTATAGCGACAGATTTCATGCACATGGGGCCCAAGTGTTTTTGAACTCCTAGCTACATTTTGATAATCACAAGTTTTGGAGCATTAAGAGGAAACCAATTCATACAAGTCTGAAAATTTCCAAGCTGGAAAACAACTCATACAGAAAATAAACAAAAAGTACCTCCAAATGCAACAGAAATGGGATCATTGTGACCGCCTCCAAATGTTTCAAGAGCACTTGCAAAAGCAATGTCCCTATCGTATGCTTCTCCAAGACCTTCTCTGGAAAATTTGAACAAACAAATATCAAGTGTGTACTTCATGATGAGCAAGTTTAACAATAAAGAGTTATCCAAGTATATTTGCAACAGAAATTAATAGACAGTTTCATGGCCCAAAAAGAAATTAGTGAATCCTCTCAGTATCTAGTTTACCAATATTTCAGAGGCTGATATCTGCTGCAATGAGCAATTAACAATTCAATCATATCAAACAATCTGAGAAGGCATTCTTTAACAACGCAAAACAACATTACTGTATTAGAAGAAGAAGGCAAGAGAAGTCAAAGAGCTTCATTAGGTAGAAATTTCATTTCCAATCAGCTCAATTTCATCGACCAAGAGTCTCTTTAAACTTAGATGGTTTTCTAAAAGGAAATTAGTTAAGCACAAAATCCGTGCATTGCAGTTGTGATTACCCATCCACAACATCATCTTGGAGGTATTTCTTCTCGTTAATACACCCAAACAAGCTTGAAAGACAGTTGTATCCCTCTCCACACCCCCATTTTTACAGCTACATTTGAAATTTAAGTCAGCATAAATAGCTCTTGTTCCTATCCTGTCTTATGCCAAAAGGCCCTTGATTCAAAAAGTATATCAATGTCAACAAATTTCATCTAATGATGTGAATTTAGACATGGAAGAAACAGAACCTAGTTTCCTATTTCTTGTGATTTTATCTTTCTTGCAAAATCAGAAGACTACCGTTTAAAGTATGTTATAAAACTAAAATAGAAGAACTTGGAATACGAAGTTATGTATCAAAAAAGACCTGATTAGATGAATGCAGAGTGCAGAATTTAACTAATACATAAACAAATGTTCAGTAGCTATAGCGGAGTAATGATCATACTTAACTGCACTTAATTGCAACCATTCTATACATGATAAGAAGTGGAATCATAGAAGGAACATGTATGCAGGATACTGAAAGAAAATGGAGGTTTAGACTTACGTGTACTTCCGGCATCCTTTAAAGAACTTTACACTTCTTTCCCTTAAATTCTCAGCACTCTCTTCCAAACATTGGATCTGATTGACAAGCAAAGTTTTAAGCATATAGTTGTAGTAGTACAGTTTTAGAATGAACAAGCAAAGTGATGCTATTTTGTTAAGGTTGTGCATCTCAGTTTGGCAAATGAAAAATCCGACAAGTAATTGAGATTCTGCCTGTAAAACACTAGCAGACAGTAAAGGAAACAAGCTGTAACAAATATATTAGCTAGTAAGTAACATGACTCCTAATTCCTGGCGTAATACTTCTCATTAGTAGGTTGTTTTTACTTCTTGAAAGTGTGCTACTTGTAGTCTAAAATTAGCATTTTCCACACTGGTTTCGAGCTCTTGTCAAGCCACATGGTGCACTCAAAAGAGCATTGGACCTTGAGGGTCCAATGCATCTGACTATGATCCAACACATACAAATCTTGCTCAGGTGAATAACCAAAGTCTCTGTTGCAACACAAGTCAATGTTGCCATTGACCCAAAAAATGCAATGATCAGCAGAAACATAAACTAACACCGTGCCTAATGAAAGCAAATTAATATTTCCACGGTATTATCATTATGTGAGAATTGATTCACGGAAAAAAAAAGAAAGAGTCAGAAGTACATAAATGGGGACAAAGAATTGAACTAAAACCTGTTGCCGGAACATCGGTGAATCATCAAGCCTTGCGAACTGCATCTTTTCCTCTTGCATCTGATCCTCTGCAATATAGCATCAACTAGCAATCCAACCCAACTTCATATGACCATGATCACTATCCCCACCGACAAATCTAACCATTAATATTCTTTTATAAAATCCTCAAAATTTTCTTTAAAAAAAAACCCATTAAAAATATCATGCTACACAATCTTGAATTGGAAAATTCTTGTCTTCAAGTTAAAAGAAGGCCAAGAAAAGTAAAGGGCGGAAAGAAGAGAGACTAAAAATGAAAAGGGAGTCGGAAATGGTTGATAGAGGTCAGAACAGAGCGAAAATAGAGGAGACAATATGGGAAAGGGGGACCAATTTATGCGATATTTCATGGCTGTCACTAAAAAATGGAAAAATACCGTTGTGGGGATGCTCATGTTTCAATTCTCATTTCTATCTTGGTGCTTTTTAAATTGAATTTTCCTTAATAATTTCCACAGTGGGGTTTAATTACTTGTTAAATGAATCCAATCCAATCCAGTCCAGAGTAGCAGATTTCCAATATTAGTATTTGATTATTGTAGCAGCTATAGCACTAGAGGTGAGGTGCCTGGGGCAGTGACTAAACAGTTAGTACCAGTGGTTGCTGTATTTAATTTTGAGATGCAATGATTAACTGTCTAACATGACACATTAGTGCGCGCCAAATGCCTCCCCTGTCCTTTGCCAACTCCAAAGTTTAAATGGCCACCCACTTTGGCATAGCCACTTTTCTTGAAAATCGTAACAGGGAAAAGAAAAAAATGAAAAGACAGAAAGAGAGAATACACTTTTGCAAAGGCAGCAGTGGACATGGACAAGGGATGAAGGGAACCCCTTTTTTTTTTTTTCTGTAAAATTCATAAGAAGCTTCCAATTTTATCTCTTATGAAACGACCTGTGAAGTTATTGTTTGCATGTCATAACATGATATGAATAATAATACAATTCTTTAAAGAATATATGATATTTGGAGAATTCATGCTGTTCTTTTTAAAGAATTTGCTTTTGCTTTGATGTCCAAGATCGAAGTTAACCTTAAATTTGGATTAGATACCAACAATGTATTTGCGAGATTTCCATCGTTTTCAATTTAATCTGGTCAGACAAGGCATTCAATGGCAGCCATCCATCAATTCGTTCAATGATTGTCAACTTGCAAGTGGTATCAAAATAGACTAGAAAATGAAATCAATCATGACATTTTTTTTTTTAATTTTGCAAAATGCAAATCATCCAATCCGTCAACAATTCACAATTTCATAGTACTATACATGGGATAGGATGGGAAGCCCTGCATGCAAGTTGTATTGAGATTAGTGAAAAAACATGTGGAAATCTTTTAAAATTTGTTAAATAAATTGGTGTGAAAAATGAACCAAAAATGAATAATCTATACTAACAGACTTTACCCTATAAAAGAAGTACCCACATACCCACTAATTGCTATACACTAATTAAAAAAGGCACTGATATTAATCTTAAATTCCAAAGCTGCAAATTGGAGAATTACTGGTAATCTACTACGCCAGTAGTCAAAACTATTTTCACTAAACTTTGCTTTAATTGTCTATGACTATTCTCGTATATAAAATTTCCAAAGATGCAACCTTGTACATAAGTACACAGCACCATTTATAACGCACTATTTATAAGCTAATGTACTATTTGATGTTGGATAAACGATGGAAAACCTTTTAGAGTATTCTGGGAAGCAAATCTCCTTCTTCTGTTTTTCATTGATTTTTTGTTTTGGTACCATGAAAAAATTTTTTTTTTTAAAAAAGCTGGCATGGGTAAGTGGTAGCTGTAGTAATGGGAATGCTGTAATGGTATACTGGTTCATGAGAAAGGTACAAGAAGCTAATCGACGTTCTTTCTTTCCGACCCCAGAAAACAAAAATCTCTGCTTTTTCACATCTTCATTTCATCTCAAATATCAATCCAGTAACCTTTAGCTTCTTCTGATAGGTTAGTCTTTTCAGACATAAATTTCATTTCCTCATCTTTACTTTTTAACACAGTCGCATATATGCATACAAATGCTCATTCTTGCATTTTGCTGTATGAAAAACTTAAAGCTGCAAGCTTTTAGTCGTAATACTAACGGGATTTTTGTGTCGAACTTTTATTTTGGAAGAACCAGAAGATTTACGTGAGGGCAATGCTTGTTTTTGTATTTTCTGGTGGTTCTAACGTTCTGCTTCGGTTTAAAAATTTGAACTTTTGCTGTTTCTTGATCATAAAAAGGTACTTGCTTTATTTTACTGATTGAAGATGAATACTGACGTTATTACTCCATGTTCTTTAACGGGGTTGATTTATTGTAAAAAAGGAAATTTTGCAGAAAAAAAAATGCATGCTTGCCCAGTTAAAAGAATTTGAGTTTTATTATGTACTAGTAATTGTTATTATTATGAGACGGCCTTTAGTCAGGAAATTTGATGGATTTTACCATGCTGGGGACTTGTCAAATTGGATGGTTTTATCACCTTGGCCTTTGGTTCTTTGGCGGAATTCATTGGTTGCTTTACATTTTTTATAAATTCATTACTTTTCTATTTAGATCCTTCTTTTCGTGTTGTTAAAACTTAAAACCTCATGGGATTTCCATTTCATTCTCAGAGGCTATGGAGCTTATGTAGGGAATGCAAAACTTCAGAAAGTTGGTTCATAAATTTAACTGGTAACATATTGTGAAAGGCTTACTAGTGAGGGATTGTGATCTGCTGAATTTGGATGTGATATTTAGGTACTTTAGTCCTTATTTTACCATAGAAAGACTTTCAAATCTCGAATTTCTGTAAATTTTTGTCTGAGTTCCATGCAATATGTATCTCATTTGTTAGACTTTACATGTGAGTTTGGTTGAAAAGCCACTCTTATCCTTCCAAGCATCAAATAACTTTCAAAGAAATTGCTGCCTAACTACAGTGCATTTGTCACTGCTAATGTCATTGTGGAGTTCATCTCTTTGAACATTTATGGTGTTAAACTGTGAATCCTTCCTTAGTTCCGTCATTCCTTGCCTCCTTTTGAATTAGCTTCACTTAATCTGCATCGCTAAGTGATAATGAATTTTGCTTCTTGGCCCATTAGGAGCATCAATTCGAGAAATTTCATGACTCTGGGAACATGAAACATGGTGAGCAGGATAGAGGAGTATAACAGAGAATTGGAGGCTCTTCGTGTAAAGGAGAAAGTGGAGAACATGATTCATAATGAAGACTATGCTGGTGCAAGGGATACTTTGCAAAGAGCCCGTAATCTTTTTCCACTTGATGAAATTGTTCCTAAGCAGACTGTATGTGAAATCCTATCAGCTGCCAATATCAACTTTCCAGGTTGTGAGATTGACTACTACTGGGTCCTTCAACTTGTGCCATCAGCCAAGATATTTGACATAAAGCATCAGTATCAGAAACTTAGAAACATGCTGCAACCTTTGAAGCATAAGTTCCCAGGTACAGATGTGGCTCTTAAACTCATAGAGGATGCTTTCTTTGTGCTTTCTGACAATCAAAAGCGTTCTGAATTCAATTTGCAACGTAGCACCGCCTGGGAAAATTATGAATCACCTCCTCTAGAAGCAACAATTTCCTCTGAATTGTCTGAAATGAAGGGAGGAATGTCTGCTCTAGCCTCTGGTTATTGTCAAAATGTCTCTTTAGAAAACCTGGGGACAAGGAGTCAGGATTGTTTGACAACGGGCATGCATCTAATGAGAAATGGAGGAGCTTGGTCAAATTCTACCAGTAATACTTCCGAAGGAGATGTGGCAGAAGTTAGGCTTGACGTGAACTCTCTATCAGAACAGAACCATGCTGTTTCAAGGGATCATCCATCCTCTTCCAGAAATATGGCCCATGAAGTGCTTTATCAGGATATTTACAACTTCGATGATGACAGCGAAGTAGATAATATGGAAATAGGCCAAATATGGGCAACACATTATCAATCAAATGAACATCAAAATTGCCGATATGCTCAAATTATCGCCAGGTCTATGTCTACAGTTACTGTGATGTGGCTGAAACCAATTCCAGTTACTGATGCAGAGAGAAGATGGTGCGAGGCCGGGCTACCTGTTGGATGTGGATCTTTTCGACTGGACTTGGAGTCGGGAGAACACGTAATTGCACCTTTGCAGTTCTCCTACAAATGCGCTTTGAATACTGAAGTGGCAGCACAACAGTTTGACATGTATCCACAGAAAGGTGAGGTTTGGGCGGTTTATGAGGATTGGAACCTCGAAGAATGGTCCTACAATCCTGAAGTTACACATAGTTGCAACTATAGATTAGTTGAAATTCTCTCAGATTTTTCAACATATACTGGATTTGATTGCACGTATTTGGTGAAGGTTCCAGGTTTCAGGAGCATTTTTCAGAGGGAAACGGGAGGAGGCTTTTCCATCACTATTCGTGTCCTTCCGCGCATGTTATACGCCCTATCCCACAAGGTTCCAGCATATAGGTTAACTGGAGAAGAGATTGATGGAGTAGTCAGTGGGATGTTGGAGGTTGACCAGTTAGCATTGCCAAATAATATGAGAGGAAAACCAGACGAGGCAGGGATGTGGAAGATGGAAAAGCCAGGAGGTAAACCAGATGATGCAATAATGTCGGAGAGAAAAAGCCCAAATCTTTCTAGTTCTACAGGTCAGGTTTGGGCTGTCTACTGTGGAAGAGATAAAATGCCTCGGCAGTATGTGGTTATACACAACGTGTTCTCAAGAACCCAAGTACTTGTTAATTTTTTGGAACCTGAACCAGACTTGGATAATAATTGGTGGCAGAAGAGTTTACCTATCGCATGTGGAGCATTTAGCGTTGGAGAAGTAATCATGGATATGAAAATATCGCAGTTGTCACATCCAGTCAAGGTTGGGAAAACTATGCCTGGCTACGTGATTTATCCTGCAAAAGGCGAGATTTGGGCTATGTACCAAAGGTGGAACGGTGAGTGGAAGCTTTCTGATCTAGAAAGTTGTGAATATTGGATTGTTGAAGTTCTATCAGACTTCTCAGAAAGAGAGAAGATTGTGGTAGCTAGGCTGGGTGAAGTGAAGGGCTGCTGCACTTTTTTTCAGCGGCTGCAGCTGGACGGCTTTGAAATGATTTGTGAAATTTCAAGAGCTGAGATCCATAGTTTTTCCCACAGGATTCCTTTTTGTAAAGTCCCTGGTATTGGAGATTATGGCATTTCAGAGAGTTCTTTACATTTAGAACCCAACTGTTTGCCTCCAAAACGGAGAAAGCTGGCATGAGCATTAATTTACTGGATGGAGAGGTGAAGTGTGAAAGGGCCAGGTTGTTATAGACTGAATAGTTTGAAGGCTTCTGAAAACGAAGTTGAATTACTTATGGCACAATTGCCATTTTGCGGTGCAAACTTGGTGTTAAGATTCAACAGAACTCAACAACTGAATAATCTTTGCATTCGTTGTTCCTGATGGAGAAAACGCTTTCCCTTTTTTCAAGCTTTGTTTGTCAAACCGCTATTTAAATTCTTGATTTGTGTGTTTTTTCTCCAAGGTTTCAGGTGACGGCATAATCTTGTTTCAATACTGTTCTAGAATGCAGAAAACCAAAAAAACGTGCAATTTGAGATAGCTTTGGCAAGACACATTTGCAAATTAAAATCTCCAAATCTCACTCAGTCATTTTCCTTGATTTGCCACATAGCCAATTAAATTACAAAATTCGCAAATTATTGTAATTCAATTCGAAGTACCAACTGTTGTTTTACAGAATCTAGAGAGCCAAAATTTTGATGGCGATTTGAATCTTTTCCGAGTACCACAAAAGTTGCCACAACTCATCGTCGCTGAATGGTCAATCTTTCACGAGTATCACTGGATGGATATAAAAACTCGCAAAACAAAAATACTCCGCAATAAACCTACTCATCTCCAAAGTCTACCTAAAAAGCTTTTCTTGTCCTTCTTTGTCCTGTTCTCCAGTGATGGGCATTCTATTAGATTATATGCCAGGTCAAGAACTATTGGACTCCGAGCAGCTGCCTGGAATGAAGGTGGGAAGCGCTCAATACGTGACATTGACTTGACACTGGCATCCACTGCTGATTCATACACATCCAGGTTGTCCATAAGAAATTTCTCCAACTGAAACAACAGAATCAGCATCCAGTAAAAGGTTAAGCCATAATACTACAGAAGCGTGATTGAGACGTGCTTAAAGAAGTGCGCTTCAGCTATGCATTTAAAAAGTTAAACTAGACTAATTTGCAACCATTTTAAACATTAAAAACAGAGACAAATCCCAGCTCAAAATGCGTTAAAATATTACCAACTTGTGCCTAAAACAGAAGCAACTTTGGAAAGGAAAAGAAGTAAACAAAGGGAAAACAAAAAATTATGCACACAAGATGAGGAGCAAAATAGCCTGTGTTCTTCAAATAATCACAAAGGAAGGATAAACTGTGTTGAATACATGGCTACATAAAGAAAATCCAAAAGAAGGACCGGCTTTGAGAAAAAAGTAAAAGATAACAATGCACATGTATTCATGGTCCAACAAAGTATGTTCCACCAACTAAGCATTGTAGATAAGGAGTTGACCTAAAAGAAGTTCCATCACAGATGGCACATATAGGCAAAGCATCACAGTGGTGTCGTTTATCATATTCTAATGGAAGCAAGAAAATTTCAGTACTAGGAAATATTCCAGCAGAAGAAATTAATGCATGGTTTTTGATCCACAAATTCTATGGCCAGTTTATTCAGAGAATCCTCGTGGTTCAGCACTATAAGATGACTTTCAAAGTGTGAATGGTGAACATGCATAAAGCTGATCTCTAGGACCAGGCAAAGTACTATGACTACAGAGGGTCCATGCAACAGTTTATCCACAAATCTCAAAATAAAACCATGCTTTTAGTTGCATGAATTAATTATATACAAAAAAACTTGAGGAATAGAGTGTAAGTAACATGTAAGCAAATCTGAATGCCTTCACATATTATGTAGCTAAGATACATATACGTAAAGTGTATAAAGCGATGCAAACAAATGTGCAAATTTTTAACATCAATATCTAGAAGAAAACGACAACATCAATATTGAAGGGCTAACAAAATGCATAATCATAATTTGAGATATTCAAAAACCATTAACACATGGCCAGCTTAAAAGAAAGTGAAATCTAATGAAGCCACATCAGCATAATGGGGAAATTAATAGTAGCATCATACTTTACATGCTCCAACTATGATTGATGCATTTAATTTTCTTCTAGATGAACAAGTCCAGGACCTAAATTAAATGTGCCACAAACCTTCTTATCTTTTCCAGTCAATGATATAGTTGAAATCTTTTGTGATAGCTTTTCTGGAGCCTGCTCTTCCTCCATGATGGCTATTGCATGCTCTATACAGCTGTTTGATCTACTTTCTTTTTGCAGTGTCTGCAACTCCTTTATCACAGCCTGATAAAAAGATAATGGACAAAAATAAAGAGACAAACAAAGCAGTCAACACGTGAGTAGACATGGAAGAACAAGCTGCCATAAACATGATATTTCATAAAAGAAAAATAAAAGATGGCCCTTTGGTTATGACTTTTTAAATTAACCAAGTCAGCCACAGAGGAAAGTATGCACACCTGATCAGCTGTCTTCGAATTTTGAAGCTCTTTAAGGGCTGTATCAGCTAGAAAGCGAACTTTGCAGTACAAAGCATAGGCTTCTGTTCTCTTTCCAGCCAAACTGTAGGATTTGGCTAAATAGAAACACCTGCCAACAAATTGACAGCAAGGTCATATGTTGCACAATGAAAACATTCTCAATCCTAACACCTCTTACCAATTTTCATGGTAACAATAGAAAAGTAGAATAAAAAAAGCAAACTTAAGAATATACAGTTATTTGACAGGATAAGTTAAGAGAAGACAAGACTTTTAGACAATAAGATAAACCTACAGCCAACTTATACATTCACAAGAAAAGAGTGAAGTGACAGCCTGTAAGAGACAAAAGAAACAAACAGCCAAAAAAAGAAAAAGTAGTGACATAAACCGAACCTTTCAGCTCTGAAAACCAAACTTTTGAGCTCACACTCTTCAGCAAAAGCCAACTCTTCTGGCTTTCTATCTCTTCCAGAGCTAACTAAATCAGAAAGATCAGCAGCATTCTGCCAGTTGGAAGAGCAGTTACTAAATTTCGACACTTACAAATATGCCTACTACTATTGCTACATGCACAAAAAGATTGCAAAAAGCTAGCTATATGAATTATGGGTAATCACCTGTAACAAAAGGTCATATAGTCGGACAAGCTCTTCAGGCTTGGTAACTTTTTCATTCTTATCATCACGGACCTTATTGAGTTTGCTTATAGCAATGCTAACCAATAACTGGTTCCTTTCGATGGTTCGCTGTCCTAAAACAGCACCAATTGCTTTATCAAGGCCACTAAGATCATCTTTCATGCTTTCAGAATTTCCTGCACTAGCCTAAAAGAGAGCATAACGTGAAAACCAGTAAATCCGGAAGGAAGGAAAAAAACATATCATCGTTCCTAATAGCAAAAAGTGCACTAAGATGACAAGTACTTGATTACACAAAGAAAAAAAAAAAGGGAACTCATGCTCCTCACCAAATCATTGCGAATGCAGCTTCTGGCTTCATTATATGCAGCAAATATTTTGTCAAATGTGGCAAGTCTTTTATCTGCTGGAAGAGAGTCTGCTTTTGGGCCATGAATGTCCTTCTCCAGTTCCTGAGCTGATCAAGTTCGCATCATAAGAAAGGAAAAACCTTCAGACTGGATGATAAAGCTATAGAAAGTACTAATCAACTCAATGAACACAAAATGGCTAAGAAAGCGGATGCATAAGGTGATATCAGATTACATAGGAAATCAAGATCCCGTTGGTTTTTATCAATCTGTTTAATGTTGGCAATACAAAAGGAAAGGAGCAGAAGAGCTTTCAGAAACATTGAGAATCCAATTTAGAATTGAGATTCACTTAAGAATCACTTATTTCGGAGCAATCAAGCCACAAAGTACATGGAAGGGACTCACAGAATTTATTTTGATTTCTAGGCAACATCCTCTATGTTGGCGTTCTGATTGAAATCAAGGTACTTAACCCAGAAAGAAATCAGTCAATAGCAGAAAATTCTGTGAATGAGTTTATGATGTAGCATTAGAGATAGAAACATGTCTATCTAATTACACCAATGCAGTGAGGGCATTACACAATTCATTTCAAAGTTCAACCTAGAAAGGCCAAATGCCAGTCTTTAACACGTTCCTCTGTATGACCTGATGAACTTACTTCAGAAGCACAACTTATATAAGCAGCAAACCTTAAATAAGCAACTTCTGCAAAGCTAATATTCTAATTACACATTAAAACCATTAAACTTTTTAAATGTTATTTAAATGGTGATCTGAGTGTCCATGCATGTTTATAGGTCTTTTTTTTTTTTTTTTTTGAACTGTCACATTGGCGCAGCAGTCATCTCCATGCATGTTTATAGCTACTCCAAGAAAACAAGTATACAAAACCTAGCGATTATAGTCTACCGAGGTTTCTGAATGCCTTGAAAAAATCTGTGATTCGTCTGATTCCATGATAGCCAAAACTTTGCCCTTAAATTGCACATCAAACTAAAAAAAAAAGAGTCCATTTTAACAAATCACCGTAAAGTCAATATCTAAGAGATTGTCTTTAATGTGACTTTTTAAAGTAAAATTGACTTCCTTAGTTTGCGAACAACAATAAATTCAACAATACTTGTATAGTTTCCAATTAAGATATGAACATTTGAGTAAATAATCCAACTGAACTGATAGAGATAAAAAAAGAAGAAGAGTTAGTACCTTTGCATGAATGAACTTCTCCTTAACTGAGATATGATCATCATGACTGGGTTTACTGAAAAACTGTTTGTGTTTATCAGACTCAAAGAACCTGCATCAAAGATATATATATTTAACATTAAGCCTTTAAAACAAGATAATCAACTGCAGAAAACTCTGCAACACTTACCGCCTTGGTATTTCATCAGCCTGAAAAGTTTTTCTTGCATTCAACAGCCCCTCCCATATTGAATTCACAAAGACGTTCCCCAAGGCCTGGAACAACGCTATCACAGAAGGTTCCCAGACCTTCACATCGAGAGCTAAGGATCTCACCTGCACTTGAAGTACACAACAATGTAGGATTAGGAACCAAGACAATCATTTGCTACTAGCGCTAAAAGTAATCAGCTACAATGAGCAACCAGCACTTTTCTTCTCATGAGCTATTTATTGTCAAAATTCCTTTCATATACAACCAGGACTAGGTCTTGATAGAACCTTTACACTAGAAATGTGTTTGTAAGATATTGAAAATTAACAGCAAATGTGAGAAGGTTAAAACGCAAACTTGAGATAAAAAAAACACTTGCCTTTGATATATGTACCCCAAGGTTTCGGTGAACACCAGAACACTCTATACAGATTAGGACACCAAGATTCAGGGAAGCCCAGTCTGGTTCAAGCGCACCACAATCAGCGCACACATCGTTCCCAGGTAATCTTTTTAATGTATCAACTGGCTTATCAATTTTCATACTATGATGTAGCTGCAGTGCACTTTTTGATGAACGTATCAAGTTCCTAGAAGCAAATTCCTTATCAGAGGAATGTTCTTCAATTGTCCCGTGATCATTATCTGGACTTCCGATGGAACTACTTTCACTACTGGGGCTTGCAGCAAAATGCTGGCACATGATTGAATTAGTATAATTCATGAGAACCAAACACTACGTTTAGAATGCACTGATGCAGTTCGATTTTACCTTCTCGGGTTCCTGGGAACTCAGTAAAGATGCAATAACTCCAGTTATTTTATCAATCCAATCCATTTGCTCTGTTGCACTCTCTGCCTACATGACCAAACAACTACTTAGCTACCGCCCAAGATAACGAGTCTTTAAGTAATTGGGTTACAAAAGACATTCAGCCTCACCAACTAAAAAGTTTCTCACTACTCAAACTATTAAACATGTCAGGCTAATAAGTATTTACCTGCAAGGTGTAATTCTTCGCTGGTGAAATTATCCTGAAGCAAAATCTCAGATCTGATTGATCTGCATCAACTTTTATTGTTGATGTGAGTAAGTTCACCGTGTGACGTGCAACAGACTTTTCATCGTGTACACCACCATGATAATGAGAAGACAACCAACGACTTAGAAGTCCAGAACTGGGTTCTGAGGGAGAACTTCTATGTACATGAAAGTGACTTCCAGATCCTGGGAACTAGTAGAGAATAACATATTAAGTGGAGAGGAACCAAAAGGAAGGAGCCTTTGACATGAAATTTTTGTTTAAATTACTTACAGATGACCTGCTCCATTGTTTGCGATAGTAATACAACATTCCTCTGCTATCCAAGACAAAAAATCTTCTCTTCCAGTCACCTCTTAAATTAGAAGAACGTTTTGAGAGATATCCTTGTTTAATGGTTTGCACCTAAACTATTGAAAACTTAGCTATAAACATAGAGATCAGGAACATATATTGAAAAGAGTAAATGCTAAAAGAAACCAAGGAAAGCTCTCTTTGGTTACAAGGAAATCAATATCAATTTGAGTACCTTCCCTTCCAGTGCAGACTGCATAACTGCCTCTATGACTTTGTGGGAACCTCTAGGGAATTGTTGTACTATATCATGACTTGGAGAACCAATGGACCCATTGAATGATCTTCTACTCTCTTGATCAACCTGCCTTTTGTACTCCTGCATCCTTTCATTTAGAGCTGCCTGCTCATAATTGGAACTTTCTCTTGCATGCTGTGCATAAGCCAAGACCTGTAACAGAATAGCTTCCCTAAACTCCACAAGATATGTATAGTTTATCATATAGACATTAAACATCAAAACTGTAGCTTAAACCATTCAGAAACCACTTCAACCACAAGGAAAACAGCTGATAGATATATTCAACAGTTCGTGCGGTTGGCTTAAATATCTGATAGAATGAGGATGTCCAGAATGTATTTTGCATACTATTTTCATGATTGAACAAATAAAGTTTTCATGTGCAAGAAGTACGTAGTAGTGGCTGCTTGACTCCATTCTCCATTACTTCATGTTTGCTATTAATAGTTGCAATCAGTTCGACAAGTCGCTAAATCATGAAGCAGCCATGAACAAAACCAATTCCTTAGAGAATATCAGCTATTGAAGGATCAAGGATAGAATTTAACAACTGAATAAAAACTTTTTAAGTTTGAGCTTCTTAAAGTAAAACATTAATACATAGATGGGAAACATTGGGCAACATCTGTGGTAAATTATGGAAATGCAAGGAAATTTAAGTAAGATTGAGGCAACATCTTGCATGTATGCCAGTCCTATTCTAGGAGGATCCCATTGATGCATCTAAGGAATGCTGTTACGGCAATGTAGCTTGTCCAATGCTTTGGCAGGGTAAGCTTCTATATAAGTCTCTGTAATTGCTTTCTTCAACCTCCTCTTAAGCATCTTACTATTACTCCTATATGCTCTTGTATGTTCCTTCCAGGGATATGAACTACTGGACAAATAAAAGAGGTGCTAAAACACGTTATCAGAAATCAGTCCATAATAAAAAAAGAAAAACTGGACCTGGTTTATGTAAGGCTCCATCTGATGCAATAGCTCGTATCCCTGTACATGAGATCACTTTTTGGATTCAGTATGTGCATTATAAGCGTATCTCCATTTACTAAGAGCTTCTAATCATAAAAGGACCTGTTTGAAATAACGAAGATGAGCATCCATTGCACTACCTACAGCATCCAAAAACTCGAATCGTTTCTTTGCCTCAACAGTAGAAAGAGCACCAACCTGACCTTTCATCAAAAAGTTCTATAGTAAGACAATTTCGAAATTAGATAATTCCATATCTTGATAGTTCTATAGAAAAAAGAAATGACTAGAAACTTAAAACAAACCAGATTGAACCGTGATTGCTCAAACACAGATCTTGAATTATGAAGTTCCTGGAACGTCCCTCTACCAAATTAGAATTTAACAGATAATGGTTACCCATAACCAATTATCTGATCAACGAAAGCAATTGGTAATAAATCATTTAATGTAAAAAACTAATGCTCAATACCTCCTCTAACGCAGCAGCTACATCATTTTTAGTGCTTTTCCTCAATGACAAATACTTCTCGCGGACCTGAGGCAGGAATAGGGTGTTAACAATAAAAGAAGACAGTACCAACTATATCAGCATGTGATTCATCACTGTACATCCTTTATTGGTATGTTAAGATATTCCAATTGTATATTTTGTTATATTTAGTAGCTTGTAATCAAAACAAGGGGGATTCCTGTATAGTGTACAGCAGCAAGAGATTAGGAGTAACAAGCCAGTGCTCTATCTTCTCAACTAATTATTGGGTATGTTGATGGGTTAAGTTGGTAAAATTCTGCCTATACTTAGTTCAATGGAGCTTAAAAAACCCCACAGCAACCACTAAATATAAGCTTTAGATCTACAGCGTGGTGCAAAATAGGCTCCCTCACCATTTTGTGCGTGACTAGGAGAAAGAGAGATACTCTTAAGAGAGATATGGCTCTAAATATAGAAGTGTATATATTTGAAAGGAAAAGTACCAAAGTAAGGATGATTTCTTTGACTTTCAATGGATCTCATAGTTCTCTGCAGCTTCCTACTCACTTAAGAAGATTGATGCTTGGTTTCCTAAGTACCCCAAATTATAAAACTGCTAATTATCTTTAATCCTCAAGCTGCCTGGCATGTCAGTGGACTAAAGGATTGACATGGAAATGCTAAAGGATCTATTAAGCAACTGAAGTCATAATCTAAACATAACATGAGAGTAGGTTTCTCAGCACTGCCAATAATGACAGTAAATGAAATAGGAATTTTTATAGATCAACTGAGCTTCTCATAAAAAATTGATTTGAGAAAATAAAATCAGCAAACTGCTGAGGTGTAATCATGTAATACCTGGTCATAAGTAACATTAGCCTTATCAAAACGCTTACGAGCTTCCTGCAATTTACATGATTGTGTTGATTAGAATGGAAAAGATCCTTCAATATATAATAGTAGGAGGGAAGTCATGCAGAGTTATAATGATATATACATATAAACAGTATTACAAGTAACAGAGTAACAACAACAGGTGACCCTATTATTAAGCATCATCTAATGTGCAATCTCAGAATATAAAATAAGTCATAACTGAGGTGAAATTCTAATCTCCCCTTATTTCATTTGCTTTATTCCAGTTCAATATGCATTTATTTATTGAGAACACATGCAAGCACATTAACCTACCTATAACACCAGAAAAAGTGTTTAAGACCGTGGAGACCAGGGTGACTTGCGAACAAGGACACAACAAGAAACTATGGGGGAGACATCAAAGAGAGAAATATGCATTCCTTGAAGACCAAACAGGATTATATTCTGAGCACCTCCTTCATTTTATAGAGCAAAAGCCTAAACTCAAAGTGATGGCTAGTACCTTGACATCTTGAAGATCAACATTAGCAAAGTGCAGTAGCCTATCATTTAGTATGTGCTCCACCTGAAAAATTGGAAAGTAAGGAGAGGAATTAAAACAGATATAAGACTAGGTTAAATGCCATGGTGCCGAAGAAGTTAATGTATCTATATATTAATTGCATATTAGATCAAAGGAAGCCAAGGAAACTGAAAGTACTTTTAGTAAAGAGCAAAAAGAACAAAATGAGCTCTTTCAAAATTGAAAGAAGATTTATCACCTGCGATCGAAGAACTTCCTTGTACATTCCAATTTCTCTCAGAGCAATTGCAAACTTAGCCATATCAGGGCCTAACATATTCAATATTAAACTCCATCAGCATTAAAACCTGCAAAAGATGAATGATTGACCCAAAAAAAAAAAAGGAGACCGAAAGATGAACAAACAAATACGCTGGCAAAACAAATACATCCTGCTTGCTTGGAAGAAAGCAGTATGTTAATCTTCACTTCATTTTGAACAATTATGACTAGATTTACTTGACTGAAATCCCATGACTTGATATTCAGGACATGTATATCAAGTTCTGCTGAGAAGGGTGCTGCCTTTTTTAAGCTTTACTTTCTTTTGTCAATTTTATACCACTAGATAAAGTTCTCAACGTAATCTGTCAGAAAATGACATGCAGAGATTCAGCAGGTATAGCGACAGATTTCATGCACATGGGGCCCAAGTGTTTTTGAACTCCTAGCAACATTTTGATAATCACAAGTTTTGGAGCATTAAGAGGAAACCAATTCATACAAGTCTGAAAATTTCCAAGCTGGAAAACAACTCAAACAGAAAATAAACAAAAAGTACCTCCAAATGCAACAGAAATGGGATCATTGTGACCGCCTCCAAATGTTTCAAGAGCACTTGCAAAAGCAATGTCCCTATCGTATGCTTCTCCAAGACCTTCTCTGGAAAATTTGAACAAACAAATATCAAGTGTATACTTCACGATGAGCAAGTTTAACAATAAAGAGTTATCCAAGTATATTTGCAACAGAAATTACTAGACAGTTTCATGGCCCAAAAAGAAATTAGTGAATCCTCTCAGTATCTAGTTTACCAATATTTCAGAGGCTGATATCTGCTGCAATGAGCAATTAACAATTCAATCATATCAAACAATCTGAGAAGGGATTCTTTAACAACGCAAAACAACATTACTGTATTAGAAGAAGAAGGCAAGAGAAGTCAAAGAGCATCATCAGGTAGAAATTTCATTTCCAATCAGCTCAATTTCATCGACCAAGATTCTCTTTAAACTTAGATGGTTTTCTAAAAGAAAATTAGTTAAGCACAAAATCCGTGCATTGCAGTTGTGATTACCCATCCACAACATCATCTTGGAGGTATTTCTCCTCGTTAATACACCCAAACAAGCTTGAAAGACAGTTGTATCCCTCTCCACACCCCCATTTTTACAGCTACATTTGAAATTTAAGTCAGCATAAATAGCTCTTGTTCCTATCCTGTCTTATGCCAAAAGGCCCTTGATTCAAAAAGTATATCAATGTCAACAAATTTCATCTAATTATGTGAATTTAGACATGGAAGAAACAGAACCTAGTTTCCTATTTCTTGTGATTTTATCTTTCTAGCAAAATCAGAAGACTACCGTTTAAAGTATGCTATAAAACTAAAATAGAAGAACTTGGAATACGAAGTTATGTATCAAAAAAGACCTGATTAGATGAATGCAGAGTGCAGAATTTAACTAATACATAAACAAATGTTCAGTAGCTATAGCGGAGTAATGATCATACTTAACTGCACTTAATTGCAACCATTCTATACATGATAAGAAGTGGAATCATAGAAGGAACATGTATGCAGGATACTGAAAGAAAATGGAGGTTCAGACTTGCGTGTACTTCCGGCATCCTTTAAAGAACTTTACACTTCTTTCCCTTAAATTCTCAGCACTCTCTTCCAAACATTGGATCTGATTGACAAGTAAAGTTTTAAGAATATAGTTGTAGTAGTACAGTTTTAGAATGAACAAGCAAAGTGATGCTCTTATGTCAAGGTTGTGCATCTCAGTTTGGCAAATGAAAAATCCGACAAGTAATTGAGATTCTGTCTGTAAAACACTAGCAGACTAGACAGTAAAGGAAACAAGCTGTAACAAATATATTAGCTAGTAAGTAACATGACTCCTAATTCCTGGCGTAATACTTCTCATTAGTAGGTTGTTTTTACTTCTTGAAAGTGTGCTACTTGTAGTCTAAAATTAGCATTTTCCACACTGGTTTCGAGCTCTTGTCAAGCCACATGGTGCACTCAAAAGAGCATTGGACCTTGAGGGTCCAATGCATCTGACTATGATCCAACACATACAAATCTTGCTCAGGTGAATAACCAAAGTCTCTGTTGCAACACAAGTCAATGTTGCCATTGACCCAAAAAATGCAATGATCAGCAGAAACATAAACTAACACCGTGCCTAATGAAAGCAAATTAATATTTCCACGGTATTATCATTATGTGAGAATTGATTCACGGAAAAAAAAAGAAAGAGTCAGAAGTACATAAATGGGGACAAAGAATTGAACTAAAACCTGTTGCCGGAACATCGGTGAATCATCAAGCCTTGCGAACTGCATCTTTTCCTCTTGCATCTGATCCTCTGCAATATAGCATCAACTAGCAATCCAACCCAACTTCATATGACCATGATCACTATCCCCACCGACAAATCTAACCATTAATATTCTTTTATAAAATCCTCAAAATTTTCTTTAAAAAAAAACCCATTAAAAATATCATGCTACACAATCTTGAATTGGAAAATTCTTGTCTTCAAGTTAAAAGAAGGCCAAGAAAAGTAAAGGGCGGAAAGAAGAGAGACTAAAAATGAAAAGGGAGTCGGAAATGGTTGATAGAGGTCAGAACAGAGCGAAAATAGAGGAGACAATATGGGAAAGGGGGACCAATTTATGCGATATTTCATGGCTGTCACTAAAAAATGGAAAAATACCGTTGTGGGGATGCTCATGTTTCAATTCTCATTTCTATCTTGGTGCTTTTTAAATTGAATTTTCCTTAATAATTTCCACAGTGGGGTTTAATTACTTGTTAAATGAATCCAATCCAATCCAGTCCAGAGTAGCAGATTTCCAATATTAGTATTTGATTATTGTAGCAGCTATAGCACTAGAGGTGAGGTGCCTGGGGCAGTGACTAAACAGTTAGTACCAGTGGTTGCTGTATTTAATTTTGAGATGCAATGATTAACTGTCTAACATGACACATTAGTGCGCGCCAAATGCCTCCCCTGTCCTTTGCCAACTCCAAAGTTTAAATGGCCACCCACTTTGGCATAGCCACTTTTCTTGAAAATCGTAACAGGGAAAAGAAAAAAATGAAAAGACAGAAAGAGAGAATACACTTTTGCAAAGGCAGCAGTGGACATGGACAAGGGATGAAGGGAACCCCTTTTTTTTTTTTTCTGTAAAATTCATAAGAAGCTTCCAATTTTATCTCTTATGAAACGACCTGTGAAGTTATTGTTTGCATGTCATAACATGATATGAATAATAATACAATTCTTTAAAGAATATATGATATTTGGAGAATTCATGCTGTTCTTTTTAAAGAATTTGCTTTTGCTTTGATGTCCAAGATCGAAGTTAACCTTAAATTTGGATTAGATACCAACAATGTATTTGCGAGATTTCCATCGTTTTCAATTTAATCTGGTCAGACAAGGCATTCAATGGCAGCCATCCATCAATTCGTTCAATGATTGTCAACTTGCAAGTGGTATCAAAATAGACTAGAAAATGAAATCAATCATGACATTTTTTTTTTTAATTTTGCAAAATGCAAATCATCCAATCCGTCAACAATTCACAATTTCATAGTACTATACATGGGATAGGATGGGAAGCCCTGCATGCAAGTTGTATTGAGATTAGTGAAAAAACATGTGGAAATCTTTTAAAATTTGTTAAATAAATTGGTGTGAAAAATGAACCAAAAATGAATAATCTATACTAACAGACTTTACCCTATAAAAGAAGTACCCACATACCCACTAATTGCTATACACTAATTAAAAAAGGCACTGATATTAATCTTAAATTCCAAAGCTGCAAATTGGAGAATTACTGGTAATCTACTACGCCAGTAGTCAAAACTATTTTCACTAAACTTTGCTTTAATTGTCTATGACTATTCTCGTATATAAAATTTCCAAAGATGCAACCTTGTACATAAGTACACAGCACCATTTATAACGCACTATTTATAAGCTAATGTACTATTTGATGTTGGATAAACGATGGAAAACCTTTTAGAGTATTCTGGGAAGCAAATCTCCTTCTTCTGTTTTTCATTGATTTTTTGTTTTGGTACCATGAAAAAATTTTTTTTTTTAAAAAAGCTGGCATGGGTAAGTGGTAGCTGTAGTAATGGGAATGCTGTAATGGTATACTGGTTCATGAGAAAGGTACAAGAAGCTAATCGACGTTCTTTCTTTCCGACCCCAGAAAACAAAAATCTCTGCTTTTTCACATCTTCATTTCATCTCAAATATCAATCCAGTAACCTTTAGCTTCTTCTGATAGGTTAGTCTTTTCAGACATAAATTTCATTTCCTCATCTTTACTTTTTAACACAGTCGCATATATGCATACAAATGCTCATTCTTGCATTTTGCTGTATGAAAAACTTAAAGCTGCAAGCTTTTAGTCGTAATACTAACGGGATTTTTGTGTCGAACTTTTATTTTGGAAGAACCAGAAGATTTACGTGAGGGCAATGCTTGTTTTTGTATTTTCTGGTGGTTCTAACGTTCTGCTTCGGTTTAAAAATTTGAACTTTTGCTGTTTCTTGATCATAAAAAGGTACTTGCTTTATTTTACTGATTGAAGATGAATACTGACGTTATTACTCCATGTTCTTTAACGGGGTTGATTTATTGTAAAAAAGGAAATTTTGCAGAAAAAAAAATGCATGCTTGCCCAGTTAAAAGAATTTGAGTTTTATTATGTACTAGTAATTGTTATTATTATGAGACGGCCTTTAGTCAGGAAATTTGATGGATTTTACCATGCTGGGGACTTGTCAAATTGGATGGTTTTATCACCTTGGCCTTTGGTTCTTTGGCGGAATTCATTGGTTGCTTTACATTTTTTATAAATTCATTACTTTTCTATTTAGATCCTTCTTTTCGTGTTGTTAAAACTTAAAACCTCATGGGATTTCCATTTCATTCTCAGAGGCTATGGAGCTTATGTAGGGAATGCAAAACTTCAGAAAGTTGGTTCATAAATTTAACTGGTAACATATTGTGAAAGGCTTACTAGTGAGGGATTGTGATCTGCTGAATTTGGATGTGATATTTAGGTACTTTAGTCCTTATTTTACCATAGAAAGACTTTCAAATCTCGAATTTCTGTAAATTTTTGTCTGAGTTCCATGCAATATGTATCTCATTTGTTAGACTTTACATGTGAGTTTGGTTGAAAAGCCACTCTTATCCTTCCAAGCATAAAATAACTTTCAAAGAAATTGCTGCCTAACTACAGTGCATTTGTCACTGCTAATGTCATTGTGGAGTTCATCTCTTTGAACATTTATGTGTGTTAAACTGTGAATACTTCCTTAGTTCCGTCATTCCTTGCCTCCTTTTGAATTAGCTTCACTTAATCTGCATCGCTAAGTGATAATCAATTGTGCTTCTTGGCACATCAGGAGCATCAATTCGAGAAATTTCATGACTCTAGGAACATGAAACATGATGAGCAGGATAGAGGAGTATAACAGAGAATTGGAGGCTCTTCGTGTAAAGGAGAAAGCGGAGAACATGATTCATAATGAAGACTATGCTGGTGCAAGGGATACTTTGCAAAGAGCCCGTAATCTTTTTCCGCTTGGTGAAATTGTTCCTAAGCAGACTGTATGTGAAATCCTATCAGCTGCCAATATCAACTTTCCAGGTTGTGAGATTGACTACTACTGGGTCCTTCAACTTGTGCCATCAGCCAAGACATTTGACATAAAGCATCAGTATCAGAAACTTAGAAACATGCTGCAACCTTTGAAGCATAACTTCCCAGGTACAGATGTGGCTCTTAAACTCATAGAGGATGCTTTCTTTGTGCTTTCTGACAATCAAAAGCGTTCTGAATTCAATTTGCAACGTAGCACTGCCTGGGAAAATTATGAATCACCTCCTCTAGAAGCAACAATTTCCTCTGAATTGTCTGAAATGAAGGGAGGAATGTCTGCTCTAGCCTCTGGTGATTGTCAAAATGTATCTTTAGAAAACCTGGGGACAAGGAGTCAGGATTGTTTGACAACGGGCATGCATCTAATGAGAAATGGAGGAGCTTGGTCAAATTCTACCAGTAATACTTCCGAAGGAGATATGGCAGAAGTTATGCTTGACGTGAACACTCTATCAGAACAGAACCATGCTGTTTCAAGGGATCATCCATCCTCTTCCAGAAATATGGCCCATGAAGTGCTTTATCAGGATATCTACAACTTCGATGATGACAGAGAAGTAGATAATATGGCAATAGGCCAAATATGGGCGACACACTATCAATCAAATGAACATCAAAATCGCCGATATGCTCAAATTATCGCCAGGTCTATGTCTACAGTTACTGTGATGTGGCTGAAACCAATTCCAGTTACTAATGCAGAGAGAAGATGGTGTGAGGCCGGGCTACCTGTTGGATGTGGATCTTTTCGACTGGACTTGGAGTCGGGGGAACAGGTAATTGCACCTTTGCAGTTCTCCTACAAATGCTCTCTGACTACTGAAGTGGCAGCACAACAGTTTGACATGTATCCACAGAAAGGTGAGGTTTGGGCGGTTTATGAGGATTGGAACCTCGAAGAATGGTCCTACAATCCTGAAGTTACAAATAGTTGCAACTATAGATTAGTTGAAATTCTCTCAGATTTTTCAACATATACTGGATTTGACTGCACGTATTTGGTGAAGGTTCCAGGTTTCAGGAGCATTTTTCAGAGGGAAACAGGAGGAGGCATTTCCATCACTGTTCGCGTCCTTCCACGCATGTTATACTCCCTATCCCACAAGGTTCTGGCATATAGGTTAACTGGAGAAGAGATTGATGGAGTAGTCAGTGGGATGTTGGAGGTTGACCAGTTAGCATTGCCAAATAATATGAGAGGAAAACCAGACGAGGCAGAGATGTGGAAGATGGAAGAGTCAGGTGGTAAAGCAGATGATGATGCAATAATGTCGGAGAGAAAAAGCCCAAATCTTTCTAGTTTGACAGGTCAGGTTTGGGCTGTCTACTGTGGAAGAGATAAAATGCCTCGGCAGTATGTGGTAATACACAACGTGTTCTCAAGAACCCAAGTACTTGTTAAATTTTTGGAACCTGAACCTGAACCTGAACCTGAACCTGACTTGGATAATAATTGGCGGCAGAAGAGTTTACCTATCGCATGTGGAGCATTTAGCGTTGGAGACGTAATCATGGGTATGAAAATTTCGCAGTTATCACATCTAGTCAAGGTTGGGAAAACTATGCCTGGCTACGTGATTTATCCTGCGAAAGGCGAGATTTGGGCTATGTACCAAAGGTGGAACTGTGCGTGGAAGCTTTCTGATCTAGAAAGTTGTGAATATTGGATTGTTGAAGTTCTATCAGACTTCTCAGAAGGAGAGAAGATTGTGGTAGCGAGGCTGGGTGAAGTGAAGGGCTGCTTCACTTTTTTTCAGCGGCTGCAGCTGGACGGCTTTGAAATGATTTGTGAAATTTCAAGAGCTGAGATCCATAGTTTTTCCCACAGGATTCCTTTTTGTAGAGTCCCTGGTGTTGGAGATTATGGCATTTCAGAGAGTTCTTTACATTTAGAACCCAACTGTTTGCCTCCAAAACGGAGAAAGCTGGCATGAAAATGAATTTGCTGGATGGAGAGGTGAAGCGTGAAAGGGCCAGGTTGTCATAGACTGAAGGCTTCTGAAAACGAAGTTGATTGCCATTTTGCAGTGAAAACTTGGTGTTAAGATTCAGAACTCAACGAATGACTGCATAATCATTGCATTCGTTGTTCCTGATGGAGAAAACGCTTTCCTTTTTTTTTTTTCAAGCTGTGTGTGCCAAACTGCTCTTGAAATCTTGATTTGTGTTTTTTATCCAAGGTTTCAGGTGACGGCATAATCTTGTTTCAATACTGTTCTAGAATGCAGAAAACCAAAAAAACGTGCAATTTGAGATCAAGACACATTTGCAAATTAAAGTCTCCAAATCTCACCCGGTCATTTTCCTTGATTTGCCACGTAAGCAATTAAATTACAAAATTCGCAAATTATTGTAATTCAATTCGAAGTACCTACCAACAGAATCTAGAGAGCCAAAATTTTGATGGCGATTTGAATCTTTTCCGAGTGCCACAAAAGTTGCCACAACTCATCGTCGCTGAATGGTCAATCTTTCACGAGTATCACTCACTGGATGGATATAAAAACTCGCAAAACAAAAAAAATACTCCGCAATAAACCTACTCATCTCCAAAGTCTACCTAAAAAGCTTTTCTTGTCCTTCTTTGTCCTGTTCTCCAGTGATGGGCATTCTATTAGATTATATGCCAGGTCAAGAACTATTGGACTCCGAGCAGCTGCCTGGAATGAAGGTGGGAAGCGCTCAATACGTGACATTGACTTGACACTGGCATCCACTGCTGATTCATACACATCCAGGTTGTCCATAAGAAATTTCTCCAACTGAAACAACAGAATCAACATCCAGTAAAAGGTTAAGCCATAATACTACAGAAGCGTGATTGAGACGTGCTTAAAGAAGTGCGCTTCAGCTATGCATTTAAAAAGTTAAACTAGACTAATTTGCAACCATTTTAAACATTAAAAACAGAGACAAATCCCAGCTCAAAATGCGTTAAAATATTACCAACTTGTGCCTAAAACAGAAGCAACTTTGGAAAGGAAGAGAAGTAACCAAAGGGAAAACAAAAAATTATGCACACAAGATGAGGAGCAAAATAGCCTGTGTTCTTCAAATAATCACAAAGGAAGGATAAACTGTGTTGAATACATGGCTACATAAAGAAAATCCAAAAGGAGGACCGGCTTTGAGAAAAAAAGTAAAAGATAACAATGCACATGTATTCATGGTCCAACAAAGTATGTTCCACCAACTAAGCATTGTAAATAAGGACTTGACCTAAAAGAAGTTCCATCACAGATGGCACATATAGGCAAAGCATCACAGTGGTGTCGTTTATCATATTCTACTGGAAGCAAGAAAATTTCAGTACTAGGAAATATTCCAGCAGAAGAAATTAATGCATGGTTTTTGATCCACAAATTCTATGGCCAGTTTATTCAGAGAATCCTCGTGGATCAGCACTATAAGATGACTTTCAAAGTGTGAATGGTGAACATGCATAAAGCTGATCTCTAGGACCAGGCAAAGTACTATGACTACAGAGGGTCCATGCAACAGTTTATCCACAAATCTCAAAATAAAACCATGCTTTTAGTTGCATGAATTAATTATATACAAAAAAACTCGAGGAATAGAGTGTAAGTAACATGTAAGCAAATCTGAATGCCTTCACCTATTATGTAGCTAAGAAACATATACGTAAGTGTCTAAAGCAATGTAAAAAAATGTGCAAATTTTTAACATCAATATCTAGAAGAAAATGACAACATCAATTTTGAAGGGCTAAAAAAATGCATAATCATAATTTGAGATATTCAAAAACCATTAACACATGGCCAGCTTAAAAGAAAGTGAAATCTAATGAAGCCACATCAGCATAATGGGGAAATTAATAATAGCATCATACTTTACATGCTCCAACTATGATTGATGCATTTAATTTCCTTCTAGATGAACAAGTCCAGGACCTAAAGTTAAATGGGGCACAAACCTTCTTATCCTTTCCAGTCAATGATATAGTTGAAATCTTTTGTGATAGCTTTTCTGGAGCCTGCTCTTCCTCCATGATGGCTAATGCATGCTCTATACAGCTGTTTGATCTACTTTCTTTTTGCAGTGTCTGCAACTCCTTTATCACAGCCTGATATAAAGAAAATGGACAAAAATAAAGAGACAAACAAAGCAGTCAACACGTGAGTAGACATGGAAGAACAATCTGCCATAAACCTGAAATTTCATAAAAGAAAAATAAAAGATGGCCCTTTGGTTATGACTATGTTTAAATTAACCAAGTCAGCCATAGAGGAAAGTATGCACACCTGATCAGCTGTCTTCAAATTTTGAAGCTCTTTAAGGGCTGTATCAGCTAGAAAGCGAACTTTGCAGTACAAAGCATAGGCTTCTGTTCTCTTTCCAGCCAAACTGTAGGATTTGGCTAAATAGAAACACCTGCCAACAAATTGAGAGCAAGGTCATCATGTTGAACAATCAAAACATTCTCAATCCTAACACCTCGAACCAATTTTCATGGTAACAATAGAAAAGTAGAATAAAAAAAGCAAACTTAAGAATATACATTTATTTGACAGGATAAGTTAAGAGAAGACAAGACTTTTAGACAATAAAATAAACCTACAGCCAACTTATACATTCACAAGAAAAGAGTGAAGTGAAAGCCTGTAAGAGACAAAAGAAACAAACAGCCAAAAAAAAGAAAATACAGTGACATAAACCGAACCTTTCAACTCTGAAAACCAAACTTTTGAGCTCACACTCTTCAGCAAAAGCCAACTCTTCTGGCTTTCTATCTCTTCCAGAGCTAACTAAATCAGAAAGATCAGCAGCATTCTGCCAGTTGGAAGAGCGGTTACTAAATTTCGACACTTACAAGTATGCCTACTACTATTGCTACATGCACAAAAACATTGCAAAAAGCTAGCTATATGAATTATGGGTAATCACCTGTAACAAAAGGTCATATAGTCGGACAAGCTCTTCAGGCTTGGTAACTTTTTCATTCTTATCATCACGGACCTTATTGAGTTTGCTTATAGCAATGCTAACCAATAACTGGTTCCTTTCGATGGTTCGCTGTCCTAAAACAGCACCAATAGCTTTATCAAGGCCACTAAGATCATCTTTCATGCTTTCAGAATTTCCTGCACTAGCCTAAAAGAGAGCATAACGTGAAAATCAGTAAATCCAGAAGGAAGGAAAAAAACATATCATTGTTCCTAATAGCAAAAAGTGCACTAAGATGACAAAGTACTTGATTACACAGAAAAAAAAAGGGAATCTCATGCTTCTCACCAAATCATTGCGAATGCAGCTTCTGGCTTCATTATATGCAGCAAATATTTTGTCAAATGTGGCAAGTCTTTTATCTGCCGGAAGAGAGTCTGCTTTTGGGCCATGAATGTCCTTCTCCAGTTCCTGAGCTGATCAAGTTCGCATCATAAGAAAGGAAAAACCTTCAGACTGGATGATAAAGCTATAGAAAGTACTAATCAACTCAATGAACATAAAATGGCTAAGAAAGCGGATGCATAAGGTGATATCAGATTACATAGGAAATCAACATCCTGTTGGTTTTTATCAATCTGTTTAATGTTGGCAATACAAAATGAAAGGAGCAGAAAAGCTTTCAGAAACATCGAGAATCCAATTTAGAATTGAGATTCACTTAAGAATAACTTATTTTGGAGCAATCAAGCCACAAAGTACATGGAAGGGACTCCCAGAATTTATTTTGATTTCTAGGCAGCATCCTCTATGTTGGCGTTCTGATTGAAATCAAGGTACTTAACCCAGAAAGAAATCAGTCAATAGCAGAAAATTTTCTGTGAATGAGTTTATGATGTAGCATTAGAGATAGAAACATGTCTATCTAATTACACCAATGCAGTGAGGGCATTACACAATTCATTACAAAGTTCAACCTAGAAAGGCCAAATGCCAGTCTTTAACACGTTCCTCTGTATGACCTGATGAACTTGCTTCAGAAGCACAACTTATATAAGCAGTAAACCTTAAATGAGCAACTTCTGCAATGCTAATATTCTAATTACACATTAAAACCATTAAACTTTTTAAATGTTATTTAAATGGTGATTTCCAAATAAAAATAACTGTCCCAAAACTATTCTTGGAAAAATACAACAGAGAACATGCTGTCTAAATTTGAATTTCCAGCCAAACTAAAAATGCTGTCAAGCAAACAATTCCAGCTTCTAGAGTCAACCCAAAAAGTGGCAATGCAGTTGCAAAAAGCAGATACAAGGAAGAAAAACTTAAGTATCCATTTTGCTCAGAAACCACTATGACTTAATTATGTCATGATTCATTACTAACCTTTCAGTATGGACACCCTTGTTTTTGCGTTTGATATTGGAAATCGGTGCCCAAGCCAATGGAATTCTGTCATTGATGCAGCCTGCTGGGACCTAGCCTCAGACATAACAGCCTTTTGATCCAAGAAAATGCAGTTATAATAAATTAGATACTAAGCTGAGAAATTCATGTTTCCAAGTTGTCATGACAAAAGTTGTGGAATATGATTCTACCAATAGTATAGCCACACACCTCATTAATCACCTAACTCCTGAATTCTATTATTTAAGACTCACCTCCAACTTTGCTCTAAACAGGTCCAAAGCAGGTCCTTCCATTTCACCTATGCGTAACAATTCAGAAGTTTGTAAATTTGACTCGCCAATTTTGTGTAAGCAGTATCTTATGCTAGGTTCTAATTCCTCAACCCGCTCACGGCACAAAACTTGGTTCTCAAGGTCTCCATATTTCCCAAGTTCCTCATAAACAGCCCTAAAGAAAGTAACTAAGTTAGCCAACAAGGGAACTGTACACTTCAAGCAACATCTTGGATATTTAAAGGAGAAACAACCATACTAAACATTTAGTACCTGGCACTTTTGAAACTCTTCAGTGCAACTTCCCAATTCTGATCTTGTTCAAATAACAAATTTCCCCTCATATAAGCTGCATAGGCCTGCAGTTTAAGAATTGATAGTTTCTCAGTACAGAGAATATTACTTGCATGCAAAAGTTACAAGCAACAGTGTGAAGAAATTGCCAAGTCAACAACATTGACAGGCTGAAACTCCACCACTAAGCAAATGGAAACAGAAAATGGCAACAAAATCTTCAAAATGTCCATCTGAGAAAAGAGTTGAAGAGCACATCGATTGCTAAGTGAGAATTGTTTTTACAGCTTGCATGTACGTCTAGAACTAGTTAATAGTTCATCTGATGCTTTTAATGAAAACGACTAAAAAAGGAAAGGAAAGACAGTAAGAAACAACTGAATTGTCGGCATTGATTGCATAAGCCAACTTCCACTAAGTATGACTGTATTGTAAACTATATCGTTGGTTTTAATTGCAGTGATTGGAGATGAATCCAAACCATCCATAGAAATTAACTTTATCTTAACATAAATAGTTGCTTAGAGATCATAAAGTGATAGATTCTCCACCATATCATCTAAACTAATCCAAGCACTAAATCTGAATTATTCGTAAATACCTAGTTTGATATGTGCTGGCTACAGTTATCGAATGTAAACTTCTACCTAAACCACTTGTAACAAGAAAAGAACGGTCAAAGGAAGAAAATTAGTAGCAGACTATGAAGTTTACTTATTAAAAGCATCTAAGCAGGTTATCTCTCATGATTCTAGCAACACCACAACTAGGGATGGCAACAGGAGCGGCTTCCCGAGGGGAGTGAAGCAAGGGTGGAGGGGATTTTTCTCCCCCTGTTTTAAATGGGGCAGGTGATGGGGGAGGACCTCCACCACTAAATAAATTTTGAAAAAATGTAAGTATCTATAGCTAATTTTATACATATATAACATACACATTACAACCACACATCAATAATATATGCAAATATATTATAATTTGAGAACTAAAAATATCATAATGTCAATAAAATAAATTTTAAAATATCAATAATATCTAAAAGAATGATTTATGAGGTTGTTATTGATGTTATATACGTGGACAAATAATGTCCAAATAAAAATTATAATTAGCCAACCACTATGGAGTGGGGTGGGGCATGGCAAGGGTAAGGGAAGCGGGGGACGGGGCAGGAGTGGGGGGAGATTTTAGAACACGGGGCTGGGGAAGGGGGAGGGATCCCCCGCCTTCCCCCCCCCTTCCTCCAAAAACCACGGGCCCTATTGCCATCCTTGCCCACAAGTGAAAGGAAATACAGTGAACCGAATAAAACAAAAAATTCCTGAAAGAGTCTGTTAGAAATAATTAGATTATTTGTATACAGGGCACAGCAGCAGTGCAAAATGATGAATTAATCAGCACACCTCTGCTTCCAAAGATGTCCTAGAATCTCCCTTAATGGAACACAAGTCTTGAAACAAAGTAGCCCATTTGACTGCTTTTCGCAGCCTACCAATCAGATAGCCACGCTGACGTGCATTTGGACCATCTGGCAGCGTTTTCTTTTCCATAGCATGGCTCCAAGCTCTTTCTGCTGTATAAAGAACCACATGAAGATACCTACAGTGTCCCCAACCACCATGCAGAATCAGGATAGATTAACGACCATTAAGAAATTATTAATGAGAGACAAAACAGCATATTTGTTCTTGAAATAGCAAAAGCGAAATTAAAACATTTACCAACTGTAATGTCAATCAAATTCAACCATTGGTCTTGGCAATCTATTACCTCACTTCAGTGACCATAGAAGCTGTAATCGCCCTTTTACTATATTTACCACGGCCATGCGTGAATTTCAATGACTTGTACAATCTCCTGAGGCGAGCAGTACAGTACCTCCTAAAAATTTGCAAAAACTGGTCAATTTCACATTCCTTCAATAGTACAACTCTATCACACCACATTTTTCACAAATTTAACCCTGCCACCTCTAATGATCAATGTCATAAATTCCCTCATAAACCTATATAGAGCACCCTCACGCTTATATACTGGTAAAAACAATATCATACGGCATTTCTTACAAAAATTAAACCTACTTCCCGGAACTTCATCGTACCAAATTACTCATAAACATATACCATAAGTGTACAAGCGTAGGTTATACCGGTAACGAGCGTAATCGCCAAACCGCAATCCATGCTGCATCTGAGCCGATTTCAAGAGCTGCAAAACTGTAAATTCACCAAAAAAAAAAAACATAAATTATCTCCTCAAAATTAGCTGTCTAGAGCTTTATGGGAGAGTAAATTACCATTGATAGAGAACCTAGGGCTATTAATCTGATCAACGGATTCCGAATTCTGGTTGTCCACATCCATAGCGGAGGAGTTGTTCTCTTTGGCCATATCGTTAATTTCAAATCTCCGTCAAATCTTAAATTTGGCGTCGTCTTTATTGGAATTAGCCCGACGGCTTGAATGTAGGTGGCTTGAAAAATTCTGAAGATGTCCAAAATGCCCCTGGCTTGTGGCACACTGCCGGCGGCGGGGTTTTCTGGTTTAGTCGCTGAGTGAACGTAAATGAAGCCTGTTTGGTCTCGACATAAAAATCCTAACGTAGATTAGACTAGGGATGTAATCGAGCCGAGTCGAGCTCGAGTATCGCCATACTCGAGCTCGACTCGACTCATATACACAGAAGCTCGAGCTCGACTCGAGCTCGATCGAGTCTAAAAAATGGATACTCGAAGCTCGACTCGAAGAATTTCCTTTAGGCTCGAGACTCGACTCGATAAGGCTCGACATTTAGTCAAGCCTTATCGAGTCAAGTCTTATCAAGCTTTTTGACTCGATTTGACCAAAAAATGAGTTCAAAGGTGGCGTTTTGGGAAGATTCAAAAGGCAAGCTGGATTGCTTGACATGGAACTTTCAAATTCAGCAATTACCCACCAACGGTAGGTGCCCACAAGAGCAGCAAAAAATGGATGATTCTAATTCTTCGGATCATAGTTCCTAAGTGTGCTGCAAAAGTACCCAAACTAACCAAAATTCCCCACAAAATTCCAAAACTTAGCAAAACATGAGCTGAGCCACCAAATTGAGAGACAAACAATTATCTCAAACAGCCACAATATCCCAACTACCACAAGCTCAATTCAGAAACCAATGCCAAGATCTATCCAGAAATTCCTTTTCCCCACAAATATCACTAATTACTAACTAAAGAAAGCTGCTTTAAACAAGAACATGTCAGAAAAATATGTTCCTGGTTCAGAAATGGACCATAGTCCAGCAGAATTACAAGTGTTTGAATAGGATATAGAAGAATGAAGTTGAAAACTCTTGTCACTAACCTGACCCAGCAAAGATGACCTCAATACCACCATTAAAATGGCGATGCTTTCTTGTGTTTAATAATACATGATGATAACGATGCTCAAACCTAAAGCTAAAGGAGTTGGTGGAATGTAGAAATTTTACAAGGAATATTTGGACTTTTTCAAGGGGTAAGTGGGTGAGATGAGATCTTTGGCCGGTGACATATGCTGCAGAATTATCAAGGAACAGGTCGAACTGGTGCAATTTGCATGGCGCAGTTTGATTAATCATTAATCCTTCCTCCTCAGATGTCTTTTGTCTCAGTATTAAAGGGAAAAATTGCTGCTGTTTATTTAAGGATTCAAAAGCAATTATCTCCAAAATGTGGTGACATCCAAGCTTAATTAAATTTTAATTGAGAGAAAAAGAAAAAACAGATGATTTTGGACCCCAGCTTCTGGAAAAAAATAAAAATAAAAAATTCGATGATTCACGTATCCATCCTATAGACAAACTCAAACGTCACGCAACAGAGCTGTTTTTGGTCCAGACCCAAACCAGGAGCAGAGCGAGTAACATTAGAGCAGAGGCAGACATACCAGATGGCGATCTGGCTACCAGATGCGATGGCGATGGCGATGGCGATGGAGTCTCACAGATGCGGCGATGGCGATGGCGATGGCGATGGCGATGAGTGGTTGCCGGCTGGTAAAGTGAATTTTTTGGCGAGGCTTTCTTCGAACAGAGAAGAAAGTCGAACAGAGAAGGAAGAAAGTCTTTTCTTCCTTTTTTTTTTTAGACATTTTTTCTTTTTAGTGTGTAATTACTTTTTTGCCATTATAGGATTTTATTATAAAGAAGGGTATATTGTAAATTTCATATAACTTATACCCATAACGGTCATTTTATAATTATAATAAATATATATTATTTAAATTATAAATTTTTTTTATTTAAATAACTCCGGCTCGTCGAGTCTCAAGCTGGGAAAACGTGACTCGAAACTCGACTCGATTTGTAATCGAGCTACTCGAAACTCGACTCGAACTCGGTCAACCCGAGTTCGAGCCGAGTTGTTGACCGAGCTACTCGCGAGTAGCTCGGCTCGCGTACATCCCTAGTCTCCTCTGCGTTGTCTACTGTTTAATGGATTATGGCAAGTACTGGAGTCTACTGTGTAATTCAAATTGTTTATGGGTACGTGAACAACAGACTCAAAGCCTAGGGGTCATTGTTAAATTTATCATAACTTACTAATTTCGTCCTTCATTTATATGAATTTAGTATCCACAACTAGTTTCTTCATTTTATTTATTTATTTATCTTGTTGGGTTTTAAGGGATTTTTTCTACATTACTACTTTCCATTGCTCTGTGGAGTTATTTTTTTTTCGTAACTTTGTAGTTTCTGTTAAAACCTATGAGTTTCAAAATGTTTGAGGCTGGTGATGACATAAAAATTAGGACCATCAGCAAACCTTAACACTTTACTAGCAAAATGGCATGAGTTGTACTGTTAAAATGAACAAGAGTAGCCTTAGCTTCACAATATAATGGGTACTAGTACTACCCACTTCCAAGTTCCACACTGTGCTACTTTACAAAGACACGGTAATGTTTTCTATCCCTCCAATGGCAAATTTTGCCAATTTGCTACCAATCATTTCCTTGCAAGTTAATATGAGAAAAGAACCACATACAAAACAGAGGACTCAAGACCAACATATCTTTGGCTATATTTGCAGCTTTAGCATCAGATTAGTAATTGTAAACTAATGGCTTTGGTTAATCATATTTGCTAGCTTCAGCTTCTGCAGCATCCTTGCTGCCTTCACTTGCTTCTGATGTTGCCCAGCTTGCTACAATCTCCCCAGGCCAGTTACTTGCAATTATCCCATATCCTAACTTGTTCTTAATTGGACAGATTGTTGCAGCAGAGTTCATCTTGATGCAAACCTCAATATGTTCCATTTCCACTACGCTCAACTCCTCGTGCTGTATTCTCACTGTTCCTGAGTGGCTTTATGTGCAACCTTGTCAATATCTAATCTGGATTCACTGAACTCTGCTTTGTTCTATCCTTCCATATTAGTCATCGTAAATTGCAAGCAAGCTGAATGTGCTCCTTCCCAGCAATTGAAAAAATCCCTTCAAGCTTTTGCAAATTACAGAAGGCAAATATACCTTCATCCAATTGGAAAAAAAAACCATCCTGAAAAGCTCCAAATCCTCACAGTGAACTGATTCTCACCCGCATCTAGCACTCCAGCATATCTTGGGGATGCCTTGCTCTAGCATATCACCTACATATGAGGTCTCTCAAACATGTAGTAATAGAGCTTGACCCTGCTAGTAAATGGGAAAATGACTATTAAAGTCATGCAGAGCCAATAATTCGAGTCAGTAGTTTGTTTACACACTGTGTGCACATGTGACTTTCGTATAGAAAGTAATAAAAAATTTTCTAGTATTTACCATACCTATGACAGTAGGACCCACCCAATATAGATTGCACCCGTGCCTTCTTCACAATTACAGTTCCCAGAAGATGGCAAAGTTCCTGTGTTGAGTAGGACTTCTCTGGCTGCATAGAAATTCACAGGTTTAAGCATCATCAATGACAACCTAAAAAGCCATGGCTAGTCAGCAATTTGCTGACACTCTGTTCATTTTCAATGGACTATAACATGTCTAATATGTAAAGGAAACCTGTGTATATGTCAACAAAAATCTCACAAGATAACCTGGATATTAAGTAGAAAGCCAACCAAGTACAGTGTCCATTTGCTATGTTGCCACAAATTGATTAGTCCAGTATATTCTCCAGCTCAGCCTCCAAGGAGTGAGTTCAGCATCCTCTGAAAAATTAAGAATGATGGAAACCAAAATTAGTCAACAATTCTTAAAGAATAATGCAAACACAACATCCAGGATGTGACACTTCAAATTTATCTGAAGAAGTAATTAATTGACTATTCTCAGTCTTTAAACAGCTATTTTCATGATAATGTACCTATAATCTTTCACCTCAATCCTATAACTGCATCTAATTTATTTGGGAGAACATTTTAAACTGCATTATGTAAATATCTTGAAACATCCAATGGGGCATGTCAACCCTAAAAGGGCCCATGCAGTCTGCAAGCAATGGAGTGAATACTTATTTGTATAAAAGTCAGGTACAGTAACAGGAGGTATCATACTAATTGTAAAGA